ATGGTCATTCTTCGATTTTTGACATGAGAAACTTTTATGAAAAATTTGTATTGCAGAAATCGAAAAATATAAAAAATCGACCTAGGTCAACTCCTACATGGTCATTCTTCGATTTTGACATGAGAAACTTTTATGAGAAATTTTTATTGCAGAAATCGAAAAATATAAAAAATCGTCTAAGGTCAAGTCAGTCATGGTCATTTCATGGATTTTTTAATTTTTGACACGGGAAATTTTTCGAAAAATTTTTATTGCAAAAATCGAAGAATATAAAAAATCGTCTGAGGTCAAGTCAGTCATAGTCATTTTACACATTTTTCGATTCTTGACATAAGAAATTTTTCAAAAAATTTTTATTGCAAAAATCGAAAAATATATGACTATGACTATGTATAAAATGATTATGACTGACTTGACCTCAGACGATTTTTGCAATAAAAATTTCTTGAAAAATTTCTTATATGTCAACAATCGAAAAATGTATATGACTGACTTGACCTCAGACGATTTTTTATATTTTTCGATTTTTACAATAAAAATTTTTTGAAAAATTTCTTATATTAAGAATCAAAAAATGTATCGAATAACTACGATTGACTTGACCTCAAACGATTTTTTATATTTTTCAATTTTTTAAATAAAAATTTTTTTTGACCAACCATCACCCCGAACAAACGATGTCGTATAAATTGTTATTTGAATCGAACGTATACTTTGTAAAAAAATATATTTTATATTCAATAATTTCTTTAGTATATTTCAAATACAAAATAGATTGAAATTGTATTTGAAATAAAAATACAAAATGTACTTTTATGTTCCGCTGAAATACAAAATACAAAATACAAATTGTATTTCAAATACAAGTATTTGAAATTTGCCCAGCCCTGAATGTATAATTATAAGAAAAAAAGATATTGTCAATTTGCCACTCGCGGCCGGTGGCAAGGTGGATGCAGCACGGACACGCACCACAAATTGGTATACCCGCGGTGCAGAAAAGTGAATGTGAGCTATGTAGATTACATCCACTTCTTCAGAGGGCGTTAGTGCACGAGGGCACTTTTGAGGCGAAAGCCGTCAATGCCGTCATGTCCTCTCTCAAGATTTTCTCTCAGGTTATACACTGTGTATGAGCGACAATGCAGTATACAGGTTATAATTTATAAGTTATTCGATTTATTCATATAAGTCACGTGTTGAATGTTAAACGATGGCAAATAACAACGATAGCTGTTTCATCACTGCGCCTGGCTTCTGTCCGGATTGTGGTTCAGTTTTACCCTTGCTTGGCGAAAGAGGCGGCGTCACATGTTACACGTGCAAGAGAGAATGGGGTTCTGAAGGTGCTTTTTGGACAGAAAAAAAGTTCTTTTCTTAAAAAAAAAAAAAATAATATATATAAATTGTACGCTAATTTAAGAGAGAGTGGCATGCCACTGAAAAAACCTTTGTGTGCAAGCTTTAACTAGCAGTAGAGCTGAGAATTTATATTAATTTGGATAATCAATTGCTATTATTATGTTTTGCAGTTTTTGGCGACATGGGAATGACGCATACAATCTTTTTTAATACTAAGCACACTTATGCGTCTGCCAGAGAAGGCGATGAGAGAGATAGTGATGACGATGCAGATGGGCCAGTGGTAGAGCGACAGTGTCCTCAGTGTCGAAACGACAAAATGTCCTATGCAACATTGCAATTGAGATCTGCTGACGAAGGACAGACTGTATTTTACACATGTACCAAATGCAAGTACGTATCTGTATATAATAATATTGGCATAGCGCTCGGATATTATCTTCAGATGAAATTCAGTTTTTGTGTCGCTTGTAATACTTAATGTTAATGAATGAATTATTTTATTTGCAGATTCAAGGAAACAGAAAATTCATAACATAAAAAAATCGCGTTATATATCTTATTTTATAAGGAATTTTGTCATATGGAACAAGTACAATTTTTTTTTCTTTTTAGAGAATAGAAAATACATATTATTTTTATACTGCGCGAAATAGTTGAAAAAGAAATTATATTTTTGTACTCTACATATTTTTATTAAAACATGTAATGTCAGTTGCTTCTAGAGTTCTGTTAATAAGTATTATTATTTGTACATACAAAAGCATACAGCGGGGCGTCTTTATGAGATTTATACCTCAAGATAAAAATACATCGCTTTAATAAAACATAGAGCTTTATTTATAATACACTCAACAAATAGTGGTGAAAGAGAGTACACTTGTCATAATTTCATAATTCTACTGGGTCACAATATCTTTTCTTTCTAACAATGTTCCTTTACCTTAATTAAGTGTTCAAGTAAGTAATTTGGTATATACAATGCGCGTGTCTGGAGAAAAGTTAACAATTATTTTAATAAATTCATCTTGATCCACTCTCAAAATTATTACAGTGGTCCTTGCATTAAAAAACTTTTTAATAGAGAGTTTGTCGATAGTTCCTTACTTATCCTAGGTATGCATTTACACATTGGCACTAATATTTGCCCGTGGTCTAACAATAATAAGAAGTAGATATGCTATCTTACGTTAAGGAAAGGTGTCCCAATAAACTAATTCTTGAATTTTATATGCATTACGTAAACTATAGATATACAAATGTGATATATAAAGTGATGTAATTGCACTTTCTTAATACTCTGGTATACCCACAGTATAAGCTAAAGTGGAGAAATAAAATTTGTTACTGAAAGACGTAATCGATACATGCATGAATTACTTTTTCAAACAATTAAGATTTAATGCAATTTTTGCCTAAAATCTATTTAGCTTTAAAAAAACTTCGAATTGATTTTATCTTGAAGAATTTAATTTGAAGAACTTTATTACGGAGTTTTTAAAACATTTTTTAAACAGAACTAGATTAGAAAGTCATTACGGAAGAAATTATAAAATATTTTAAAATTATTTAATAATCGCATGTAGTTCTATATTAGTGAGATATTAGCAATATTTCTTTTGCAGTATCCACAATCTAAGTAATACCGTTTCTTTGTCACGAAATAAATTTCAAAGATTTCGAATGATAGGATCTTATTATTAACACACTTCTCATTCGAAAGATTTTACATATTAAAATAATATTAGGATCAATATCTTTATAACAATACAATTATCAAACGCGATGCTTATATCTCCCAAATATTATATATTCCATAGCATAAAGTATATATGTTTTATAAAAAAACATACGTTTTTAATAACTTGTGCATATTATCATACGCTTTTTATTACTTATTATATATTCTTTTTATGGAAATGTCTTTGTACATATTATTTTCATAGTGAAATGCCTCTCTCGAAACGTGCAACGGTTTGTAGAGATACAAAAAAATAATATGTCATCTACCTATAGATCATTACAAAACATTGCTTTCACGTACATTATCGTCAATTCTGAAAGTATAATTTGGTTACCGTTTTCTATATAACTTTTGTCGATCATCGTACAGTGTCTTACGTTGTTGCACTTTCATAAAAATTACGAACGTTACAACAGTTGATCAAAACGGTGTTGTGAAAATATATTACGCTTCAAGAACACTCCTAAATATATCTCAAAAATTGATTGGCTTAATTTCACATTTTTGTATCATAATATATTGTGTACGCAAAATTTTGATTTTTGTATATTAATTGGTTACGTCATCGGCGAATGTTGTAAAGTTGTTGACAAGACCGTGTGCTTGTACAATACAATCCTTATTTCGTCAAGATCTGTTTGATTAGCACGATATATAATTATGTGTAATGCTAGTACGCGATTATTAATATCACGTATCATAATAATCAGTATTAATTTGCTTCTTTATACATAAGTTTTATATTTTTGCAGAGTATTCCAGAGCCTTAAGATAACATATATGAGTTCAGAAAATTCATTTTTGCATTGAAATCAAAATTTTTTAGCACGTTTTACAATATCAATTATATATGTTATTATCGAGATTTTAAATGTCATAATATATTGTAATTATTTGACAGATTCAGTATTCAAATACAAATGTAAACACCGTAATAATTGTTATATTTCAGAATATCCTCGATAATATTATTGTCGAAGTGTTTGCAATGCACACAACAACGTACTTTTTTATTTTATCGTCAGAAGTGTATATTTTATGTGATGAATAACACATCATTCGTGAAAAATTAATTTATATATCATAAACTTGAAATAAGTTTGAGAATTCCACATATCTATTTTATAAAGCATTATTTCACACGTATTTTACTTTTCAAACGTTGAAACATTATATTTTAAGAATCTCAATTTTGATATGGCAGATATTTTTTCAAGGCTTTCAAATTACATAAAAAAATTATGTATATCTCGATCATATTTTTCTCTAATTTATTTTGAAAAACTATGTGTGTTTGTGTCAACGTAAATTTATTTATATATTTTTTAAATGTTAAGAAATCTCATTATCAAGATGGTAACTGAACTCATATATGTGAACATTTTGATATGTCAACTTAATGTTTTATCGGAAAGAAAGTGCGATTGCAGTAACAAAAAAATAATTTAACATACTAGTATATTGAATAAATGTAATGTATATGAATACCGAGAGTATGCTATTCCAGATGATCAAATTATTGTGGTGTGCGTAATTGATTTAGATTAAGAAAAAAATACTTTTTTTTTCATCTCAGGAAAGCTCCGAGAAAAAATTTGACACATAGATTACTGACAAACTTGTATTAATTAATTCATGAATTTGCCGATTATCGTTTTATTTTTAATATTGATGATATAAGTGGAAGCTTTTATTCATCAAGGAATAATAAGTTTCCATTACGAATATCTTATTCACCTTAGGAATAAGATTTCGTTAAATAATATCGCGAACTCATTAAACGAGAATCGTCATTAAATCGTGAAAGATTGCGCCTTATATTTCTGCTATTGACTGACTGATGTCAAGTTGATTCATTCGGCCATCCGCATCCGAGGAATAACAGTTCCGCGCGCGCTAATACAACGTTTGAACAATACCTGTGCGCTGAGAATGTAAGTACGAGCTGCGACGATACGGAATACATTCTAGTGAGGTCTGAACGGCGAGACGACCGGAGCTCGCGCCGTTATTAGGCCTTCGACGCACCGTTTTTATCGGGTACTTTAAAAAACGTATCAAACATGTTTTCTTACAGACTTGCCCTGCATAGTTTCGCGACGACACTGGTGTCTAAATTAATTATTCCATCTCTTCTGACATTTTTACGCTCGGTCTCTCGCTTTCTTTCTCTCTTTTCTCTCTTCTCTCCTATCCTCCTTCGGCAATCTCACACTGCTATGTACACGCTCTCTCTCTCTCTCTCTCTCTCTCTAAACGCTCATATTACATATCGTACATAAACTATGTACACGTGACAAAGTATTTACAAGTGTGAGGCAGGTGGTGTACAGCGTCTAGATTGTCATCACTATCCCGTGCTCCGATCATGATGACGTCTGAAAGCATTCGTCCAGGAAGTTCTCCAGCGAGTGGTACAGATGCGCTCGCGACTGGACGATACCGTGGTCCTCGTCCGTGTACGTCTGCAAAAGGCGAAAGATTTGCGATTATCCCGCGATTGTATTTCGGCACTTTTTATTTCCTTAATTCGATCCCTTTGCTTCGAGGAGCGCGGGAAACGGACGACGTACCTGTTGTCTAAAGAGGATGTCCTTCTGCTCCAACACCTTCGCGAGCATCAGCGACTGTTGATAGTGCACGTTGTCGTCCAGAGTACCGTGAATCAAGTAGTACATCTTATTCTTGATATTGTCGACCTTGTTGAGCAGCTGACCGTGCTCGTAGCCTTGCAGATTATCGGCAACGGTCGGCAGACCCATGAACCGCTCGGTATAAATCGAATCTGTAATCAAGCAATTAACACGGTAATTAAAAAGAAAAAAAAAGCGCGCGGATAAAAAAAGGAGGGGAGGCGAAAAAGGTACGGTTGTGTGGCACGTAATATCTTATGCAGAAATTGCACAAGTGTGACGCTGCATAAGTCTTTTTAACGTCATCCTGTAAATCACGTGTATTTTTCTCGCGTGCTCTAACAAAAGGAGGTAAACGCTGACACGAATTTAAAGCAGTTGAAAAAGTAATATTAAAGCTGCAGTGGCGCGTCTTTTCCACGGAGCGCTCACTTTTCTTCATTAAAACGGCGGTGCGTAAAAAATTCTTAGACAAATCCCGGGGGCGAATGAGCTTAACATAAGTCATTTTAAGTAAGTAAGCTGCATTTCTCCGTAAGTAAACTCTCTTAACAATATTCGTTTATGGCGAGGGATATCAAAAGCTGGGAAAATATTGCTCGAAAGCGCGATGATGTCGCAGCAATATCGGAAAATAAAGATGCAATATTAGTTTCAATTAATTATTTTTTCGATATTTTTTTATTACATATTTTAAATATCATTTGAAACGTGCGAAATATATAAGACAAATTATTTAACCCAGAATAAAAGGAGATTTTATTAATTTGAATAAGAATTAACGTTTCCTGCTTTAAGTTTTAATTATATTATTACAGTTACTTGAAAAGCTTTTATTATTTTTGTTATTTTTTAAATTAAATTATTTACTACATTTTAATTATTCGTTACAGTAAGCAAAAAAACTTTAAGTTTCGCCTGAAGAGACGAAGAGATTCTGCTTTAGTCCTAACGTTACGAAATTCTATCCTTCGTGAAAATACTTTCCGTTAATTTTAAAGCACGGTATATCTTCCGTCTTATTCGTTTATCAAGATTTTTTGCTTTTTCTATTTTTTTACCGTTAAAACGCGCAAACTGACTCTGGCTACGTTAAGGCGTTCGGTAATTTTACAAGAAACTGCTCATCCTGTCGCAAGATAATTCGAGCTTACGGTGCTCAATCATTTACCTTCCCTTTGAAATCGCGATTGTAGACTGAAAATACTTTACGTGTTGCGCCATTAATTATCGAATACCTATCAATTATACGTACCGTAAAGGGCCCAATCCGTAACTGGCGCGACGGACATGCCGCACTTGAAGACACCCTTTAAGTCCATGGCGAGCGTCATGCCGGTCGCGTATCCACCATAACTCCAGCCCCATATCGCCGTTCTGGTACGGTCAATGAAGGGCAATTTGTCCTGCAAATGCCTGCGAGAAGCAAAGAAAAGCTCGAATCAATATCACTGAAAATACGATCTTGAAGCACATGTAGCTAAAATACATCATCTACACGATTACTCACGAAATTGATTAAGCGTTTTAAACATTTCATAAAAAAGTATCTGTGGCGCTGCAGCATAAGAAAAAGAAAGAGAGAAAAGGGCAGTCATATAGAAGATTTTTATAATTTTTGAAGTTATTAATAACGATATTCTCAAAATAAATTTCTGGACTCTTCGTAATTTTTAAAATACTTATATTTAATCAATTCCATGAATTACAGAAATTGTAGGAAAAAGCTTTCAGTTCCGACTGGAGGTACAAGTTTTTTCTTCTTCAATTCTAATGTTACGAAAATCTATTCTTACTGACAGAAAATATATTTTTGAACTTTTACGCTTATAAGACACGGTATACGAGACAGCTGCGACATGACAGCAAAGAAAAAGGATATTCTCGCGATCGTTCTATTCTACAAATTCGGAAACAGTATCGAGACGACAGCCTACGATGAATTCTTTCGTCTCCGTTTAGGAGGATCGCGCAGAAACGTCCTACGAGATTACCCTCTTTTGCCTGAGAATGCCGCAGCGCTCGTAAAAAGACAATCGCCCCCCTCTCGCTGAAGCGCCTATACGGGATAAGTCGACCGCTTTGCGATAAGAATCGATGAATACTTTGTAATTTCTGCTTCCCCTCTTCTCCCTCCCCGTAGGCCGTACGTATCTTCTATTATCTCGCGTGCACTCCGCGCGATCGTACTACCAATACGCCTCGAATTAAAGAACACGTGCCACACATCGCCTTCCACGTGAAACGTGTGTCACGCAACTGCAATTTTCTGCAGTAATGCAGTTATAATTATCGAAACTTTTCAGAGAAATCAAACTCTCTCACAGCCCCGCAATAATTTTATTAAATTACTTTCTACATCAATTAAGCTCTTTCAGACGAAATCGTTTGAATTAATTACAATGTTGTTAAATTAAAAAATACAGTTTCATTGAAACTCGAAACACTGTCCAAGAATTGCACTAAGTTTTCATATTTTTTGAAAATTCGAAGTTGCTTCACGGAAAGAACGATTTTGTTGAAAGGTCTAAAAATTTTGCTGAAAACAGATCTGAAAATAATTTTTCGTTAAATCATCCAAATAATTTGTTGGAATGTTAAAACTGATAAGCATTACTATAAAACGTTCTGATATTCTAGCAATCATTTTGACTTTTGTATAAAATTATTTTGATTTTGAAGAAAAATTATTTTCAGATCTGCAGGATTCAGCAAAATTGCTCTTTCCGTGTTTAAAATTATAAACATAAATTATCTGTATTGCTGAAATTATAGATTTCGGCGTAAAAATATTTTAAAATAAAAGCAAGTTAAGTTTCAAAAGCAATGTGTTACAGGTGTGGATAAGGTTTTGACAACAATGTTCATCTTTTCATTTTGCACACAGAGAAGGGATTAGCCGACGTAGCTAAAATATATAGCCGTAGCTAAAATATATAATGTGTATCTTTAAAAACAGAGACAGCTAATATCGTTATACTGTCAAAGCTAAATTTATTTGTTGCTAAAATTTAGGCGCTACAGCACAAAATATTTGCTAGTGAAATCAAATGACGTTTAGCTAAATACTATTGAGGAATATCCAGCAAAACTTTTAAATTTTTTAGCAAAATCACTCTTTCCGTAAATGCCACTTTCTTAGCTACTCCTGTTAAAGGATGCTTTTATTTTAGCTAATAAAATTGTATCTCGTAATAAATATATTTTATCTTTAAATAGCTAACTTTGCTATCAATGACAGCAAAGTTCGAATTACACGGAGAGAATTTTCTTTTAAAATTTACCCCAAAAATCATGTTAATCGTGAGACAACATATAGTATTTCGACAAATTTTATGTGATTTTCTGTTTTTTTTACTGTGTACTACAATAAATTTGTTGTAGTACATGTTTAAAAAAATAGTGAAAATCACATAAAATTTGTCGAAATACTATGTTGTCCTACGATTAACATGATTTTCAGGATAAATTTTAAAATAAAATTCTCTCCGTGTAGCTACTGATATTTAGCTGATTGTAAGTCATTTTTTTTGCGTGTGCATTCAAAACGGACAATGCTCTTGGCTGCACTTTAACTACCTTTCCAATTACCAACAGACTCGCGGCATTGAGAATTAAAGGGAGTTAGAAAAAGTGGTATTTCATCGCAATACCCTTAGAGAAAGATCAACTGCAATTTGGACGAGGAAACCCACGGACGGAGGAAACGCGAATGTTACCTCTGGGACGACCCGTGTATCTCTCCAGACGTCTCCCAGATTGAGCGCCACGTCTCGCCTCATGATTTCCGGGAAACCCGAGTGGATTCGCCCGCGCGAAGCGACGCGCGCTGCCCTCGCCGCCGCGCCGTCGAGGGGCGGTGAGGGGGAGGGGGAGAAAAGGGGGCGAATTCGTATTTCTTTCCTTCCAATCTTTTCGGGCTATTGTCTCTGGCATCTTTCGTGTGTTCGATAATAATGGTCCCGGCGGGATTAGCGCCCACGCCGGCCGGTCGACCGGTCGGTCGGTCGGCCGGCCGGCCGACCGCCCGTGGAAATAGTAAACGGGCGCCTCGTAGGGCGACGCGCGGCAGATTTCGTTTCTTCCTTCCTCCCCGTTCGCTCTCGGTGAAATTTATTTACCTCGTAAATCGACCGGCGGTACGTCGAATTCTATTTCTTTCCGCGAGAAAAAAAGGAGGAAGAAAGAAAAAAAAAGAGGAGGAAAAACTACAGACGGGGAGGAAAAGAGGAAGAAACTCGGACCGAGACGCTCCTCTCTTTCGTTTTGCGGCTCGCAAACGTTACGTATATAGGACTCGAGGATATATACGTATTTCGGTCCCGCCGAAACTCCATCGGCATTCCCCCGTGTCTTTGTCTCGTTGCCCTTGTTTGTTGGAAGTCCTTACGGGAACACCGCGCGGACTGATCCACCGCGCGAATTTCAAGGCGGGATTTTCCTCCGGCGGTTTTAATTACGATCGCGTGTACGTCCGGATTCTTTAAATCATTGGGAAGGTCCCTCTCGACGGGATTGAAAACACGGAATCGATAACGAACGCGATAGAAATAAACACACTGAAGAGTAAGAAGATAGAGAGATAAATCTTTGAATTGCAATTAATGTTAATTAATTTGGAATGATGACGTATCTCGGGCTACGAGAGCTGGAATATTCTTTCTTCTTTTTTTTATCGTTTGAGGGAAAAAATTTCGCGTCATGAATTTTAAAGAACGTCTAATGTCTAATGATTTTTGGCACGATGTAACACATTAGATTTTTTTCCTTTGCGAGCAATATAGAAAAACAAGTATTACGATAAATCGGATCTTCCAAATCCTTTCAAGAAATCCTTTTCCTTTTTTTAACTACACGGAATGAACAATTTTGCTGAATCCAGATCTGAAAATAATTTTTGTTCAATAATCAAAATAATTTTATGCGAAAGTCAAAGTGATTGAATATCAAAACGTTTTATAGCAATGCTCATCAGCATTTTTAACATTCCAAGAAATTATTTTGATAATTCGACAAAAAATTATTTTCAGATCTGTTTTTAGCAAAATTTTTAGATCTTTCAACAAAATCGTTCTTTCCGTGTAACTGTCTGTTTATTAATATCGCGTATGATGATGCTGCGTACTAATCTAATTTTTTCTTACAATTCTGTTGCATCTTCTCTTGTCTACACGACTGCCACTTTATTTATTTACACTGATTTAATTACCTAATCCTGCGACACACTCAATCTTGAGATCAACCACGGATGGTTTGCGCGGAGCTATGATTTTCTTCCCTTCAGGGGGAAAACGATTGTTAGTCGCTCTCTCTCCCCCCATTTAAAGGATCATTACGCTTACGAGGGGTTGCGTCGTCGTCCCCAAGATTTCCGCGTTTCAACGCCGCTTACGTCACTCGTTATTCACCAATTAAGCGGTCGTGGAACCAGCGGGTGGGGCGCGGACCTGCAGCGACGAGCTTGGTTAATCGGTCTGGTTAGCCGGTTCGATGACGGAACAAAGGCCGGCAAAAAGGAGACGAAACGCGGGGGTTTTCGCGAAGGGTTGACGCACGGAGGGAGAAAGCGAGGCGAGGCGGCGGAAACTAGGAAGAGCTTCGCGAAGCTCTTCGCCGGGTTGAAGAGAGTCGGACGACTCTTCCGCAATCGTTTGGCTGTCTCCCAACTTCGCTTTTTACGCTCCGGACGATGCACCAGCAAAACGTCGCGGCGTAGAACACCGGGAAACGTGCGGGTAGAACACGCTTGCGTTTTCGCGAATACCATTTGACGCATTGGCGATTGAATACTTTTTTAAGAGAATCTACGATCAGTGGATCATTAGAGATGTGCGAATGGTTTGAATTCGAATCGAATCACACTCGGAAAGAACAATTTTGCTGAATCCAGATCTGAAAATAATTTTTGTTCAATAATCAAAATAATTTTGTGTAAAAGTCAAAGTGATTGCTAAAATATCAAAACGTATTATAACAATACTTATCAGTTTTAACATTCCAACAAATTATTTTGATGATTCAACAAAAAATTATTTTCAGATCTGTTTTTAGCAAAATTTTTAGATCTTTCAACAAAATCGTCCTTTCCGTAGATTCGATTCGAGTTCGTTTTCGAATCTACAAGATTCGAAATCGAATAGTTCGAGAATCAACAATGGTTCGACTTCGAATCGATCGCCTATTTTATTTGGTTCATTTACGTCTCCCGCGCAATTATTTTTATCTAATAAGTAAGTATTTTTGATATGTGTACACGGAAAAAATGATTTTGTTGAAAGGTCTAAAAATGTTGCTAAAAACAGATCTAAAAATAATTTGTTGGAATATTGAAACTGATAAGCATTGCTATAAAACGTTTTGATATTTTAGCAATCACTTTGATTTTCGCACAAAATTATTTCGATTATTGAACAAAAATTATTTTCAGATCTGGATTCAGCAAAATTATTCTTTCCGTGTAATGTATTCATATAGATTAATAAAATATTCGACAGTATTTTAACTATTCGTGTATACACATGTTATTAATATTTTCTAGTTCAAAATGTCACATAAGATCATGATCTTTTGTAATGAGATGTAAATCGAGAATAGGTCTTCAGTTTGTTTAAATCATTGCGTAAAATAATGTAAATTGTAAATTTTGATATTTATTACGTTTAAATTAACATGTAATGGTAATCTGGGAAAATTTGATTCAGAGTCGATTCATATTCGAATTAAAGAGATTCGATTTGATTCGATTCGATTCGACCATGCAAATACTTGATTCGCACACCTCTATGGATCACCATACATAATTAACAGGAAAGATCTCGAGGCTCGCGCTAAAATTTGATCTCGCCGCTAAATTTTTCACATAGCACTCGAAAATGGAAAGCATCGAGGAGCATATCTCTGACGTGCGAGGTTATTCCTTTTTGATAAAGGTGACAGTGCAAATATCGACAGCTACACACTCTGTGTCTGCAGGCGGTCGCAAATTTTCGCTTTATTTATATTTCGGGACGATATTCTTCAAATAAACGCTTGCCGTAAAGGTTACTGTACAGACCGATGACACCATTTGGTCCATTCAATATTTAAGCATCGAACTTAAAATATATGCTCACGGAAGTGACCCCAGGTGTTCCTCGTGCTTTCTCCGACCTGTGTGCACTTCGGTCGCTGAACCGAAAGGTGAAGTTCCACGACTTCTTTTATAGAGAGAAAAAGAAATCTCTCATTGTCTATAAGAAATTAAATTAACTTACGTACAACTAAATGTTTTTTTTTCTACCTGTAATGTAATTTGTATTTTAATACAATTAAACGCGAGCTCTTTGTTTACCTTCGCGGAACGCCACGGCAGTGATAAGAAAAAAAATGGTTCGTCGAGCAAAAAAATAATGAAGCTATTAAAACGTTTGGGACCGCACAATGAGAAAACAATTTTGTAGCAATATTTCTAGCGTTGTTATTCCGGTTATTATTCGAAAAGACGTCCGGTCGTCAAAGGGAAAAACGGAGGGCGGAGCCCTCTGGAAGTGATGTAAATAAAATCTCCGCGAAACGAAAGAGAAAATCGCTGTTACAAGTTTACCGCGCGGTCGCGTTTCGGTCCACGGTGGTGTAATAACATCTACTGAAATTCAACAATTTACTTTACACACCGCCGCGGCCGCGCGCGCTAATTTCTTGTTGCTATTTACTAAACTTCCATCCGGAGATTCCCGCCCGCGCGTCGGTCTACGCGCCGCGCCGCGTCGTCAAGCTTGCGGCTTCGCGGTCGCGGCGCGTTGTCGCTTAAACGATAAAATATGACCCCGCCGCCGCCGGCGCGGAACGGGCATTATTCATCGCGACCGGAAGTTTGATGTTTCGGTTTAAAGACGGACGGTCGTATAAGTGGCGTATTCTCTTTCTCTCTCTCGCGCGCGCGCGCTACCGATCCGTCTCGCTTACGCGCTCCCTCTTTCTCTCTTTCTCTCACCCTTTTCCCGCCATCGAGATAAATTACTCGTGGCAGCTAAGTGGAAATACGATAGGAAGAGAGCCCGGCTCTTCTTCGTGGTACCCGCCACTCGACGGCGCGGGCGTGGAGAGGGTCAGCCGATAAATTCAGATAAAAGTACGAGCAATTTTCTTCTTGTTAACGCGGCGGCGGTTATCTCTCTCTATCTCTCTACCCCTCTCTCTTTCTATCTGTCTATCTCTCCATCTCTCTCAGGTGTCCGCGCCGTGAAAAGAACTTCGTTAAACACGGGCCTCGGACGCGCCGGGGGAGCCGGAGTTAGATTAGTTAACTTATAGGGGGGGGTTAACGAATTACTCCGATCGCGCGGTGATAAGTCACTTTGAGGCCTCGCCTATAATTAGGTTTGTCCTAAAGCAAAACTTTGTTCGCCGCACTTCCAGCCGGGGACGAGCGCGCGCCACCGGCCTCGGAGAGGCCCCCGCCTGCGTTCGTTCGTTAACATCACCGCCACGTCGAGAGCTATATCCCGGCGGCGCGGCGGCTGGCGTCGGAGGCAATCTCGGGTTAACGATATAATGCGTCTTCTATATACGTGTAAACGTGGCGTAAACGCGGTAAACGTAATACGCGCGCCTTACTCCAACGCGCCGGGGATATGACCACGCTTGCTATAAGTTATTATATAGATCCCTCCTTCAGGAAAAATGGACGCGGATGCGTTAGATGGGTTTAGCGGTGAATTGCTCTTGCCGAGGGGCGAGGGGTCCGACGAAGTAAATTTAATTTTATATGAATTCACGATTTTACGTGTCGGATATTGAATTTCCCTTCGGAATCTCCAATATAAAAATATAAAAGGCTATCATTTACATGCGCGATTGATTCGGTCGCGACTTTCAAGGTGGTTCTTTAGTAAATCGATTTACGATAGAAATGTCCAATTTTTTTTATATGATAAAAAGTTGAAGTTGACCGAACTTGACGTGTGCAAAATTCTAGAGTAAGTCGACGATGAGATAAGAGAGAAAAAAAAAAGTTGAAAATGTAACTTTTCACGTGTAACTTATACATTGGGATCGGAGACGCTTCTTTGCATGACTAACTGCACACAACCGTGATTTAAAACTTTTCTAAAAAAAACGAGATTACAATTTAAATTTCCGACACTTTACCAAAGAACCATCTTAATTCAACTTCTAAACAATATTATTGAATTTTTTTTCTTTTCGGAAACTGAAAATCGATTCGATCGGAATAATTTCACGACAGTATAGACTTACCTGGTGACGTTGATCTGATCGAAAATTTCGACGGTGCCGAGTCGGCGGTATCCGGCGAACAGCATGTCGTTACCCATTAATCCGGAGCCGCGGCCGTCGATGGCGGCGTATATGATACTTTTGTTTGTTACAAGATACGTGCCCCAATCGATGTTAAATTTTTCCGTCACCTGATACGAATCCGGGCCACCGTACCTGAAAGGCAGACAGATTGCGTGACACAGGCTGTCGGAACATCACATTATCGATAACTTTCATCGTCCTATTCACGATTTCACGCATTTGTTCATTTTCACGTGTGTTGCAAGCTTGATTTCTCTACACCGACACAAATTGGAACAGAGAAGATGTGGTGCTCTCTTGATTCTTATTATTTCTGCAGTTTCGCATTGGCGTCCGACTTTTCGAAAATTACGTGCGACGAAAGAGAAATTAAGAAATTAATTGCGCCTTACTTATTAGTTAATTTATAAATAAAGAATGTTAATGATGCAAATTTATTATATACACGATAATTATAAAATTATTAATGTAATTAAAAATAGAAAGTGAGATGTGGCATAACAAGACGATTAAATATCTATTTAGAGAGTGCCGCTGTAGCTCCGACAATTAAATCTATTTAGATCAAATCTATCCTGCAATATGCTCGGCCAAATTGGCCCTTTCTTCTTCGTAAAAAAAATCCTAATCTTATCATTAAATTTAGCGGATGTATTCGGCCACTTCCCCCGATTGTTTAGCGAGCCATTTTCTCGGCTTTCACGCTCATTACGGTTCTCGACGGTCGTTTGGCGGGAAATCTTGGTGCCACTTCCGCGGAAGAGGCTCAGAGAAGACGAAGGAAGGAAGCACAAAGAGAGGAGCCGAACGGGTGACGAGAATTAGGAAATGGAAGTTCGAGAACGAAGATGGCTTTTCTGATACGGCATTTTCAAGATGGGGCGCGCCGCGCCGACACTGACGCGGAAATAGAGACGGATAGTAACGATCCCGACGATGGCGTGATATAAACGCGAATGTTCTCGAGAACGACGGCGATACGGAGGCTCGGCGGTATCGTGAAACACGCATATAGTGGGATCGAAGCGAAATAGACTGTAATGATAACCGACGATCCGCTCTATCGGACATTGGCACGTACGGGAAAGTCATAAGACGAAAGGATAAGAATGTTGAAGAAAGAAAATATCTCGTACGATTTTTTCTGTTTATTAATACACGCGTGATTAATTGCTAATCAATTTTCCTAACACGTCAATTTTCTCTTTTCTCTGTTATGTATATTTCTTTTTCTCATGGTCGACTTAATTATATATCGAAAAGTATATGAAATTTTTCGAAAACGTTACTATTTGCAGATATTTGTGATGTGATTAATGTTAAATCGAATGGTAATTTAATGGTAATATAAACTTTTCAACTAATTGATTTTCAAATTTAAGATTAGCAAATGGCATTTGAAGTTATGTTATAAAAAAGAAGAAATCTTACACTCAGGGAAATGTTTCGCTGTTTCAGCTAGAATTATAAATATTACACTTAAATTATATCGCTGTTTTTTGTATCTGCTAAAAAATTGTCATACGTAGAATTTATAACAACAATATTCTAAGAATATATGCAAGAAAATATAGGTCTCATAACCAAATATAATTGGAATCTGGATTGATTAAACGTCATAGAGAAATTTTCTCTACATTTTAAAATTTTCTCGCTAAATTTGACAAATAGTTCAGATATAATTTCTGTCTCTGTTATTTATATTGATTAAATACAAAACATATGTGGTATCACAGTGCTTACTAATCACTTATCCGTTTTCGCTAATTTCTGTCTCTTATACACATCTC